TGAACCAATGTCAATTTGGCTTAAACACCTTTTCTTACTGGTAACCCATTCAAATTCATGAGCTTCTTTTTTTTAATAAATAAAGTTTTATTGAGATGTAGGCTAGGGCGGGGCGATGTATTGATACGTTGTCCAAAATCAGTTTGAAGTCCACATCGTGGTAATGATTTCATAATATTCAGGATGGTGATATATCGCAAATCACAATGTGTGTATGTGTGTGCGCACGCTATATGTCTTCTATGTCTTCAAAATATAATAAATACTTACTGGGCAGTTGAAACTTAGGGAGAAAAGACTCCAAGCAGCTGTTCCTCATCAGAAAAAGACAGCTGTAAGGGCTCCTGGAAACTGTTACCCTTACATATTGTTTTTAAATATGCCTTCCTATTTTTAGGAATCAGTGGCTTCAATCCCAACTTTTTGTTCTACTCACGGGGGGAAGGGGGGAACCTTCCACAAGCAAAACTCACCTTTCATGAACCAAAGCTCCTTCTGTTCACAAAGTGAAAAGTTAGGCTGAAAGCCAATGAAACAATAGTTTGCTCCCGGAGATGAAAGCTGGTGCCAATGTGAACACTAACTACATTGACCCAGAATTCTGCATGGACAGCAGCAACATACTTTCTGCTCCATCCTGGGATTTGGTGCAAAGTTTCTAGGTAGCCTTGCAGTTAAATTTACCCTATATTGCTATTGCTAAGCTTTTCTGGAAGACATCGCAACAGTTCAGCTATAGTACTTTTGATATTAACTGTTGCAAATCATTTCATAATAATTTCACAATAATGGATGCTTTAGTTGAGATTCCTGCATTGCAGGGAATTGTACTAGATGGATCCTTTCCAATTCTGCAGTTATATGATTCTATTATTCATTATCTTGAATAAACAAATGGGTTCCCACTAAATATTTGTATCTTCTGGGGTGACTTACTATGAATACACAAGATTTATTTCTTTTCTTTTTTAAAAAAACTTTTTTCTCTCTTCTATTAATACAAGAGGGTTTTTTTGCTGATTGGACAGACAAACAATTTTCACTCTGTTTTTACCATAGCTATTCATCTTCTGCTGTAAATGCTATTCACACACATCATTCTCGCTTAGTCAAGGAAGTTTTCCCGACATCTAATTACCAAATTCTTTTAACTCCTTGAAATTATAAGCCAAACAGATAATTTAGCTAGTGTTGCTAGCTTTACTGGTACTTGTTTTAAAGGGGGGCGGGGACTAAACACTGGCATATAGCTTTCGTTATTTCTGTGAAAAGGAAACCAAAATGTATAGCTCTACCATTTATTGTAAACAAGTAAACGTATGGATGTTGGCAGCTCCCCAAAAAGCAACGCAATCCCGCAATACGCAGTTCATAACCAGTTTTCTGATTCCATACATGTGTGTGTGTGCGCGCATGCACGCTCAAGAACTATAGTTGAAATGCAATGTTACAAAATGTTAGATATGTGTAATACAATGCATCTATTCTCCTCCCTTTCCTTAATTGTTTGTTTGTGTGCGTTATTTTACACCAGGACACAAGTTAAGGCCTAAAGATAGATCACAAACGCCTCTCTATTTGCAACAAACTGGAATATACCTATTACAGTCGTACCTTGGTTGTCGAACGCCCTGGAACTCGGACGTTTTGGCTCCTGAACGCCACAACAAGTGATTGTTCCAGTTTGCAAATGTTCTTTTGGAACCTGAACGTCTGAAGGGGCTTCCGCAGCTTCTGATCAGAATCCGCGATTTGGTTTTTGAACGTTTTGGAACTTGAACGGACTTCCAGAATGGATTCTGTTTGACCTCCAAGGTACGACTGTATGTGGAGTCCCCCCAGATCTTTATGGAACAGCTAAGCCCAAACTCTATCAAAATTAGGAAAGTGCCTTTATCTTTACCAATTCCCACTAGATTCTGATATATGTGAAGGACTTGGTTTCTTATTCCCACCTCAGAATCTTCAAAAACCCCAAACTGCATGGTTCTCCTGCACCACAGGCTTTCATAGTCCATGAATTGTTGGGAAAGCATAAGCCCCATGACATGTAAGCCCCATGACAAAATTGAACCAAGAGAAGCAGAAATATGGGGAGAGAACAAAAAGTGTCCAGAATGAAGGAAATTGAAAGAAGACAATGGGAAGATTGGGGTTTGGAGAGCCCTGCAGAAGTGCAGAGAGAAAATAGCCACGGTGCACTATGAGTTGGAGAGATAAAAGAGGTAGCCACAGGGATATGGGAAAGATAAAATAGGTGAGTAATGGATGGCGTGGAGAAAGAAGACTACATGCTATGGAGTCTAGAGAAGAAAAAGAGGGCTAAAGAAACAGGGAGGTTAAAAAGCAAAACACTCTTCAAATGCTTTTCTATATGTTGGTGTTCCAACAGTGCAAGAGAGAAAAAGGAGGACAGTGGGGTATGACTGAGGGAGACCTTCTTCCAATACATCCCCAGCATGCTTCTAAATTCCTATTTCCGTGGCCCTCCATATGTTTTTGTCCTACAACTCCCATAATCCCTACCTAGCAGGACCAGTGGTCAGGGATGATGGGAATTGTAGTCTCAAAACATCTGGAGGGCCAAGGTTGAGGAAGCCTATAATTTAAACTGCTTTTAATATTGATTTTTAAACTGTGTTAACCTATCCTAGGACCTGATGCTGAAGGATGGGTAATAAATGGAGATAATAATACTGTACTAATAATAATATGTGAGGAAGGCTATGCCAGCCCTGAAGCTGGTATAGTTAATTCCCCCCCTATAGAAACTATTTGGAAGCAGGGTGGGACATGACATGACAACACTGGGAAAAGCCACCTCACCTGGTTTTTGTCCTGGCCGGCACAAGCAATGTCAGGGCTTGGATGTGTAGGTTCCTCTGCCTTGCATACACCATAACAGAACTCTGTCTATTTTAAAACGAACTGTATGGGAATTTGTGCAGAAGGATCAAATTATTACTGAAGTCAAGCAGAACTGCAGATTAGAAACTGAACCCAACACAAGAACCATAGAGAATTAGAAGTTGCAAAAGAATATGTTTTACCAAGCCATGCAAACATAATAAAAGACTGCACACTCTAATCATAATGCTCCGTTCCGGGCGTGATTTGATGTCTGAAAACACATGATGCAGCAGGTTTTTTTTATTGGGGGTTTTTTTTAAAAAAAGCTAAATGTTCATTGGCTGCCAGAGGTGTGAAAACTGTTTAAATATGAGCTGAAGTTAAGTCAAGTCCTTAAGCTACCAAGACTACTGGAGCAACACACACAGCAAGATTCAAGGAGTACTTCCAAGAGGTAAACTTATTCATTATGTCAACAGCTTATTTATCGTTTCTCTTTATCCACTGAGATTTTTAAGTCACAGAATAGAAGCTTCATTCATAATAATATGCATATTGCTTATGTGAAAGCTTTTTTGGGGTGCGGTTTCTGCATTGTTCTCCCCTTCCCCCAAAAAAAGAACGGGGTGGAGATCTAAGTGGGCAGAGTATGCAAGTTCTAAATTTTCCCTTAGTGTCCTTATCTTTAAAAAGTTTGAAATAAAGACTTTAATGGTGAACATTCAAGATCTTCTGCGCATTATCTTATTTCCTGTAATGCCAGCATTCATCTTTAGAACTTAATTAAAAGTTACTCTGCTGCAGCCTTGCTCTCAGATTTTTTTTATTCTTTTCATTAACAATCAGATCTGTTAACTGATTGTTTTTCTGTAATTAGCTATCAGGCTATTAAGCTGTGAATTAACTGATGAATTAAATAATGTACAGAAGATGCCTTTTTGAGAGATTTGAATTGGTGGAAACTCTTAAGTAAGAAAGCAATTTGACAATCTGGTCAGCTAACACTTCTATTGTATGAAAAGCTATCTTTCACTTACTTTCCACTGGGGAATATGAAATATTTATTCAATTTTAAGGCTTATTGGTATTATAGAAAACACGTTTGATAGATGCACTGCTTTTTTATTTAAATGGAGCCATGTCAGCTTTATGTGCCTATAATGCAAAAAATGTCATTTTTAGGTTATTTTTTCATCAAATGTGGGACAGAGGAGGACATATTTGCTTTTTCCATCTTAATTGATTAAACGAACTATAAATTTTAATCTACTAAAACTGTAAATTTATATAATCAAATAATTAAAACATCCGTACTTCTACATTATTTTCCCACTGTATTGTATAATTGAAAAAAATAGCTCTATCAATGTACCCCTAAGGCTATGCACTAAATTATCAAATATCAAATTGTGGACCAGTTTGCATGTCTCATTAAACCCATAGTTTAGTACGCACTATAGTTTAAAGTGAACTACCAAAAATCTCTGATATGTTCTACTCCCTTCTAATCCTTCACCATACTGAGAAGGAAAAGAACAAGAGGCTAGCTTTGCATTAAGTGCAAACAAATCCTGGCTTCCTTGCTGTAAATTATTTGGAGGAAACAAACCATAAGTGCTGGTTAGTATATAGCCAGCATGGTTTGCTTCTTTCCTGGTGCAACAAAGGATTAGCAGGAAGAAGAAAGAATCGGAAACTTCTGAGCAGTCTGCGCATGCTTCCTTGACATGCAAATAATCTCTATAATGTTAATCCAAGGTCAAGATGGCCAAAGCTGCAGATTAATAACATGCTGCAAATTTTAGGATGAGGAAGACAATAGGTAAATTTATGCTTTTCACAGGAGGTTAAAATCCATGAAGACATTGTTGCCAACTTAAGAACATTCAGTTGTATTAGTTTCAGTGGAGAGAACTGATGTGCGTACGTTTTCCTCTCTGGTGTAAAATAGACTTTGACTGCATTCCTCCCAAAGCCATTAACATCCAACAGAGACAGTACAGCTCACCTTACATTTTAAAAGTTGTTTTAACAAAGAACAGATGAGACATAGCAACATTAATTATATATGGTTGTATACTTCGGCTTGACCTATAAACGGTGAGTGTGTGGAAACTTTCTCTTGTATGTTGTATATTGCAGGACCTGCCATGAGGAAAATGGAGGGCTGGACTATTGTTATGTGCCTCTTAAGCACTACATTTGCTATTCCAGTAAGTGCTAATTGCTCATTTCAAGTAACTTAATTCTCTACTAATTGAAATCAGAGTTAAAAGACAGGTGAAGATTTACAGCAGTGTTTCCCAAACTTGGGCCTCCAGCTGTTTTTGGACTATAATTCCCATCATCCCTGACCACTAGTCCTGCTTGTTAGGGATGATGGGAGTTGTAGTACAAAACCAGCTGGAGACCCAAGTTTGGGAAACCCTGATTTACCACATACCTATGAAGAAAACTAAGGCTTAACATATATTACCACAGGCTTCCTCAACTTTGGCCCTCCAGATGTTTTTGGCCTACAACTCCAATGATCCCTAGCTAGCAGGACCAGTGGTCAGGGATGATGGGAATTGTAGTCTCAAAACATCTGGAGGAGGTTTGAGGAAAAGGTTGAGGAAGCCTGTATTACCATAACCCGTGATGAGTTTTCTCAAATTAAAACCAATGGTTTTTTTTTACAATAGTAGTAGTAGTAATAGTAGTTGTTGTTGTTAAAATGATATGTATACTACCCTGTTACAAAACACCAAGGCAGTGTACACCAACGTAAAAATATTTAAAAGCAATACAGATAATATTATTATAACAAGGATAATGTAGTATACCAAGTACTGCAGTTACTCGGTACAGCTGCAACCTTTAAAAAATTGTTATGAAAAGGTCTGAAATGCAGTCATAAATGATGGGTGGTGGGGAAAGGAACATAGGTATACCAGCCCTAGCAAATACTGTATTCATTTTCTCTTCCTATATTCAAAAGTGCTTTATGGACACAACAGGAGGCAGCAGCATATGCATGGAGAAGATTTTAGCAAATGTGTAAAGTCTGCATGTATATGTCAGGAAAGATATATACCCAAGACTTAACAATTAGCAACAGGGGAAGATGAGAGGCTTTTTGCACTTCTACTGCATGAGAATCTTGCTCGGTAAAGGAAAACATGTAGCATTTTATACTAGATGATTGAAGTTATCTAGATAGTGTGTTAAACATGCCTTCGGGAAATAGCTGTTGTTAAAGACCTATTCACTTATTGTGAAGTAACAGTGCAAGTTTGCCAGTGTGGAAACAAACCGAAAAGGGGATTACAGGCAATTCTGGCCTCCTAATAAGTGTTTATGTCATTTATATGCTACTGAAAAAAACATGTATTTCTGCTTCTACATAAATTTACATTTTCAAGTGTACATTTAAATCTTCTTAGATGTACACTTGAAAAAAAGTAGTATGTCAACTGGCCTATGTCAAACTATGAACTATGCAAGTATCTCAACCTAACCCTTCATCTAAAGTCGTAGCTAAAACATTTACTGGGAAGAATTAATGAACTGAAGTTATCTCCAAATGCAAATGTGTGATTTATTTTTTTAAACTTTTCCACAGTTGCCACAACATCCTGGCTATATCAATTTCAGTTACGAGGTACAACCTTTTAAATGTTTTTCATTCATGTTCTTTGTGTGTAAATTAAAAACAAAGTAGATTACGTCAGGACTTGTATCACTAGATATGACAGCATGCACAAAATATATTCACTATTAATCAGCAAGGGGGAAAGTGAATTTGTTTAGTAGTCTATTTTGTCAGGTGATGCGATTAAATACAAAATATGCTGCTTTCACTCTGCTAAATTAAGGTGACTAAACCTATATTGATATAGATGGAAACGGAATTTGTAATGCAACTGTATTGTTCCTACAGACAAGTGCACCACTAATTGAAACGATCAATAAAACCAAATACTGAACAACATACAATCTAATTTTTACTTGCATTCAACAGGGAAACCCCCAAAGCGAGTAAAGCCCAGTCTTACTTGAAATGGAAATATGCAATCAAGTCAAAACGGAACCTAACATTAGGGATCAAAGGAGAATACATCAGGGGATACTGATTTTACATAATTCATTGGATATTTAATATGTGGTGTGATTTCATAGCACAGAAGTTTATTTATTTAAGAAAGACATAGGAAAAGTGGGGTTGGGGTGCCTGCACGAGATCTTCCTAATGAACAAAACATTATCATGGCCTGTTAACTTGGAACACTAAGTGAAGGATTCACCTAAGCAGCCATGTCAGTGGAAGCCCTGTACAAGGACTTCTGCTTGTGCAATGGGACTCTCTACCGTTGCATGTTACTGCCCCCACATCACCAAAATTGGTTCTAGGGCCTAGGAGGACCCCCAGAACAAGGAACAGAAAGGGCCTGTTTGTTCTGACAAGCGGCAATGCTTGCCCAGATGAAACAACTGGTAGAGCACGACATTGAATTCTATCCTTTCTCAACAATTTAATTGAAGTAATCCTTGTGAAATGTTTGTTTGCTATTAGAAATGTTTCTCTTTATTTGTATCTTCAAGGTGATGACACCTTTAAAGTGGTACCAGAAACTAATGGGACCCCAGGTATGGCATCTATAACATATGCAACCTATGAACTGATTTCTCAAGCCAAGATTTCAGAAGGTCAGGTGTGTCCAGATTATTTAAAACAGGCTTTACTGGAAGTGATACAGGAAAGCCAATATGGCAACAGCTGGCATGGCCAACAGTAAGAAAGTAGTAGTAAGCCCAGCAACATCTGAAGGACTAAAAAAGTCTTGTGGAAAGCTGCAGCATAGTTCACAATCACTGCCCTTCAAAATTCTGAGTAACCGCCTTCACATTATGTGTCCCAATAGAGTGCTTCTAAAAATATTTTGTTGCCCATAGATACCTTTAATCAGCTGCCACTTTGACCTTTTCACTTATTTTAAGTAATCAATATTATATAGATCTTCTAATAAATCTTTAATATTTGTTTCTGTAGTATCCACATTATGCCTATGAGCCCATGGGAGGATGGATGCACCACCATGCTGGGCCAGTGATGCACCAAGCTCATTATCCAATGCACCTCCATCAAGTGCAGCCACAACAGCAGCCGTTTCCACACCCAAACCCACAAATGCCGCAACCTGGTCATGGTCATAGCCCGTACGTGCCGATGACTGGGCAAAACACAATCATGCCACAGTATCAACCAAGTCATGTGGGACCAGTTCATCACTCGCTTCAACCACACGGAGGAGAGCACCCAATGCACCAACTGCCACCAAGCAGTCCAAACCAGCCAATGCACCCTCAGCAACCAGGGAATCCAAACCAGCCGATGTACCCAATGGCTCCCCTGCCTCCAATGATACCAGATACACCCCTTGAATCATGGCCACCAGCTGACAAGACCAAGCAAGAAGAAGTGGTAAGAAATCATTGCAGTAGCATTACATTCCATAAATACGTCAACCAAAAAGGTATCGTTTTTAAAAATATTTATATTTATTTTAATGATCAGAATTTTTAAAAAGAAGAAGTGTTCTTATATTTCCCAGGAGTGTCAACAGAAGCACTTGAGTTATACCATCAGAAATACAACCTTGATCATTTGTGTCAAGAACAACGGAAGTCGTATGGCCCCATTAAATTAGTTAGCTCACTGTGGCAGGAGTTTTCAAGTGCAACATCAAGGCTAGACAAGCTTTCACCCACAGGAACTGGTCCAGAAGAAATGATCCTCATGAGATGGCCCAGGAAAAGCCATATTGGCTCTTTCACATCTTTCAAATTAAGCTGACGTGAAGCCCTCACTGCAATAATCTCATATGAACCATTACAAATTACGAAAAACAAAAATATTAAAGTAGTACTATTTGCCATATCAACTCAAATAGTCCTTCCCACGCCTAGGCAAATATCACTTAATACATATTTCAGATGAAAATGACTCACCTTCAAGCCACAACTCTGCCTATATCTTTGAAATTGCATGAAATTGCAGCTCGTTTCCAAGACTTTGCCTCTGTATAAACATGTAAACAAAGGCACAGTACTTTCCAACCATTCATGCCAGTTTGGAACTAAAAGCCCTATGCCTCTTAACTAAAAAAATAAAATATATAATAAGATTGTTTTATTGTTAAAATGGTATTTATTTGGGTGGTAAAGTTTTTGTTGCTTTATTTCATTGAATGAAACAAGCAATCTCAATAACCATGGTAATATTTCTGTTCAGATACTGGTTTTAATTTTAGTTCTTTTCTCCCTTCTCTTTCAGGATTAAAGGGGCCAGGAAACCAGAATAATGAAGAGTATTTTAGGCACCTTCACTTGCTTTCAAAAACCCATCGTTCTACTGCAGTGATATTAATCCAAATTCTTAGAGAATACTGTAGCTAGAAAGCAATCAAACACAAAGTAGTAAATAATAAAACTTGTTTTAAATCAATACTAATAGAATTCTGACTTTTTCTTTAAAAAGTACTTCAGTCAATCGAGCCATTAAAAGGAGAATAAAACAGCATCTCCTATCGAACAGTAAAAATATCACAGATCATTCATTTGCATGTCTTTATTTAAAATATGCACACACAAAGAACCAGTCCCATAGATGAGTCACACTGAGGCTCAAGCCTCCTTCTGATAGTTCTTCTAAGCTTGCCTTCGGTTTCAAAAGATTAATTACAAGCTCCCAAATGAAGCACTAACACAATCTACCACTTCAAGAACTAAATAGTTACAATATGGACATGCTGTATGCTGCGTGCCAAACAGAAAACATAGTTTTAACATGAATTAAAAAGTCCAACTAAAGAGACCCCTCAAACGAAAACAAAATCAAGGAAAAAAACCTCAAGAGTCACGATACACAAACAACATTACCAAATCAAAATGGAGTCACATCGGCACACACATATAAACGAACCACAACAAGAGAATGCCAAAATAATGTCAGAGAACAAAGTCTATGTGAAAATGTCTATTTACCAATGTTCACTTGAGATCAACTACAAATAGTGCTCAAAAAATATGAGGCAAAGTCAGTGAAGGTTGACCCACCAAGGAAAACCAGGGCACTGTCCTACAAAGTCAAATGTCAAGCAAATTTTTTAAAAACTGTTTTCAAAATCTCAAAGTCACATTCTTTTGTGTCCCACATATACTCATATCTTTTCATTTGAATTTAGAACCTGGAGCTATTTCTACTAAGCACATGTTCTCTGGTCATCTGCTCTTTGCACCAGTCAGCCAAATTTAATGCCAAAAACTATTGCTGTGACCAGGAGGCCCCTAGTCCACCACCAGACAAAAACATGTGAAAACCTTTTATTCTACTATTAATGTTGCAAACTCCTTACCCCCAGCAGTACAGCAGAATCCCCCACCTTATTTCATGACGATAACAGTTTTATGACATGCTGTTCATCCTAAGGTAGTGTTCAAACAACACGAAAAACAATTTAAAACAACCCACAACCATAAAAATAAGGTGGGTCCTAAAAAATATACCTCAGGTGTCAAAAACCAGGTTAAGGAGGAACATCTTCAGCAATTCAGCCAATCAAGATACAGTAATTAGCATACAGCCACAATACCACTTTAGTAGGTCTGCAGCCATGGTAGTCCATTAGCCTAGTAGAGCTATCAGAACCATACATATGCTCTTACATTGGCCGGAACTATTTCCTTGAAGGCCTACACCAGGTTTCCTCAAACTCGGCCCTCCAAATGTTTTTGGCATACAATTCCCATGATCCCTAGCTAGTAGGACCAGTGGTCAGGGATGATAGGAATTGTAGTCTCAAAACATCTGGAGGGCCGAGTTTGAGGAAGACTGTCCTACACCTTTTTCTTCTCAGTAAACCAATTGGTAAGAGCCTTGTACAGTGGTACCTCGGGTTAAGAACTTAATTCATTCTGGAGGTCCGTTCTTAACCTGAAACTGTTCTTAACCTGAGGTACCACTTTAGCTAATGGGGCCTCCTGCTGCTGCCGCACCGCCGCCACGCAATTTCTGTTCTCAACCTGAAACAAAGTTCTTAACCCAAGGTAGTATTTCTGGTTAGCGGAGTCTGTAACCTGAAGTGCCTGTAACCTGAAGTGTCTGTAACCCGAGGTACCACTGTATTTACACTTAAAAACAAACAAGCAAACCAAACAGTCCACCAAATGATCTAGAAACCTAATTTAAAATTGTTCCTCTCTGCCATAGGCTCATTTTTTTTTCATATTACTTTAGCAGACTTTAAATCAAAGTGCTAGGCAATTAGCCATGGCTTACAGCAAGAGACAAAACAATAGTCCAGTAACTATTTAAAGGCTAGCAAATTGTCGTTAGTAATCCATGAAAGTTTAAGTATCTAATGAAATGTAGTCCAATAAAGCTTAGACCTTAATAAAGTTGTCTTTAAGATCCCAGTAGAGTTGTTCTTGTTTTGCTAAAACTGCACTGTGATCTATTTAACAAGGTTAAAAAAAACACCTATGAAGCACTTTGGCAAATTTAAAATGCTATTACAAAAGTAGGATGGTGGATGGGATGCTTCAGATGAGAACTCAAGTGTGCAGAGCCAACATGTAGTACAGGATAGTATATTGCACCCTGAATGCACACCTTACCCAGGCAAACCTATCCCAGCAGACAATCATATATCTGATTTACTGAAGGTCTTCATGCAAAACCCAATGTTTGTAGGCCTGAATATACTGGTTGTGTCCCAGGTGGTTTGGCCCATGATTCCAAACATGGCCTCATGCAATTCAAAATAAGAAACAGGCAGCTGAAGACAATAAAAAGTCTGTTGTTCTTTATTTGCAATATTTCATTTATATCCATTCTACCCTTCTTCCAAAGAGCTCAATGTGCCATTTATGGGTCTCGCTTTCTCCATGTTATCCTCACAGCAAAGCTATAAGGAGGCAGGTTAGGTTGACAGACAGTTGCTGATCCAAGGTCTCAACTTGAGCTTCATGGCTAATTTTAACCCTGGTTTCCCAAGTTCTAGTCCACTTAATAACCCTCCACCTGATTCCACATTCTGGAAAAAGATATAGAATTCTGCACGATACCTTTCAGACTTATCCATTCAGGCTACAATCCTGTACATACTTATCAGGGAGAAATCCTCATGGAATTACTGTACTTCTGTGTAATGTAACGGTTATCATGGCATGAACTTACATTACAAATTGTGGCAGCTTTTAACGGATGGAATGATACAACGTAAAGTGCTTGTTTACAGAGGAGGATGGGGACAGAACCATAATAGGTGGGAGCCACACAACTTTTCCCCCAGCAGAGGAGTAACTGTTAACAGCAGGGACCCCCCTTCTGAGCCAAAGAAAGACACTTTTTCCAGTTTAAAAAAGGTGCTAAGTATTTGTACAATTGCAACACTTAAGTGTCCACAGTATCTTTGCAAGGGAGAATACAGAGCAAACTGCAACAACTTGGCCAAACCACCAGACTTCATTGTCCACACCTCTGTGATATGGCAGTTGAATGAGACTCTAATCCATAGGGATAGAATGAAACCTTTGGCTGCCTGCTTAAGAATCAATGGCTGGAAGCCTTCTCACTGCCTGTGCCCATGCAATAACAACCTGATAGCACCTCCCCTTTTCCGGCAAACAAAAAAATGAGTTGTTTTTTACCTGCTCTGAAGCTTCTGTCAAGGAAAAGTGAGAGTTATCAAACATTTAAATATTGCAACTTATCACTCAACCTTTTATAAATTCACATCTAATATCATACTTTTGAAATTCACATCTCTGCTCTGTAGCTGCAGAATTTATGATTACTGTGCAATATTGCTTTAAAATAGTAAAGGTAAAGGGACCCCTGACCATTAGGTCTAGTCATGACCGACTCTGGGGTTGCGGCGCTCATCTCGCTTTATTGGCTGAGGGAGCCGGCGCACAGCTTCCAGGTCATGTGGACAGCATGACTAAGCCGCTTCTGGAGAACCAGAGCAGCGCACGGAAATGCCGTTTACCTTCCCGCCTGAGCGGTACCTATTTATCTGCTTGCACTTTGACGTGCTTTCAAACTGCTAGGTTGGCAGGAGCAGGGACCGAACAACGGGAGCTCACCCCGTCGCGGGGATTCGAACCGCTAACCTTCTGATCGGCAAGTCCTAGGATCTGTGGTTTAGACCACAGTGCCACCCGCGTCCCTTAAAAATAGTTAATTAATCATTATTTATTTTTGTTAAATATTATTTTAAAAGTAGCTACATGTACACTGTTGTAAAGATTTTATTATGAGGATGGTTTATCACAGTCTGAGCCACGTAATATCGGAGAACGGGAAGGGGAGAATATGATTAATGAGGAAGCAGAAGTTGATGATCAGCCAGGAATCCTCCTTTTGCCAGTGGGGGAAAAAATCAGATTCTATTTCCGGAGTTTAAAATATGACAGTGTTCTCAGAATTTAATCTAGTCAACACCACATTTTAGTAGGAAGGAATTCCAAGGAAATGCAGCATTTTATTTGTTCTTAACGTTCCAGCCAACCTGACAATCTTTAACTAGATAGCCCCGGTTTTCCTTAACTACAGTCTCCAATCTTCTTGTGCCTGCAGCCCATGTTTAACACTTATTGCCACATTTTAATCTGTTTCTAATACATTATAATTAAGTAATACTTCAGGTATCCTGAAGGATGGGGACACAAGTTAGGGACACAGTTCATTTGAACTTAAACAGACAAACCTAGCAACATAAAGCTTCATCGGGGGGAAAGATCGGGGGGGGGGAATGTACATTTTAAGACCCAGAATGTATATATGAGAAAATGAAGCAAATGACTGTAGCATTATTTTAACTATTCAACCAGAAGACTAACCCCAGTCACAGTGATGGAACAAAGGTCAGCTAATTCGCACAGACCCATCCCTACGACTACAAGGCCAAATCAGCGAATCACTTTTTTTAAAAAGCCCTTCTGTCCAGTCCTTTGAAGTGAGAAATACAACACAAGATGGATTTCATTGGAATGTGGAAAAGATCTAGGTCGTAATTAACTGATTAAGGGCCATCCTAGCAAACTCGAAGAGGTGAAGAAAACGAAGCAGTTGACAAAAAACACTTGACCAGCATCTAACCTTTCTAACAATGTACTGTATTTATATCCGAGAAGCTTTACAACTATTTAAAATAGACCAAAATGGAGCATGATGCCCAGAGAGCTTCACTACTTCACTGAAAACAAAGCATAGCAAAGTTTGAAACTTAAATATACTAACCAGGGTGGAGGGGCAGGCAGAGGAAACCATGACACACTTCATTTCAGTATAGATATGGTTATTTGAAAGGGGCCTCCAAATATATACTTTGTCACATGCTCTGTCCAA